CTTTTTTGGAAGGCTTTTAAAAAAAACCCCTGCCACATCCTCTGCGAACCTCCACATAACGTAACTCCTTAGCTGCTACACAGACAGCATAGACAGGAGGGGAATTCCCTGCAGTGATCTACTTCCTTCTGAGCCCTGGCGGTTATCCTGGATCATTCCTGTTCTGCATTCTTGCTCAGCAGCAGCAGCAGTTGAGTTTATTTAGAAGAATGTGGTCACTCTGTTGTGTACCTATATCAGTGGTATATATTTTTAATAGTGCTTGAGCCAGTGCAAATATTTTTTAGTATGAATGCTTTTTCATGTGAAATCTTTAATTAGAAATTATTATTTTCCCAAAGATATCATGTAGATTGCCAGAATAACACTAGAAAAAAGACTGATATGGAAATGTGTGAAATGTGAAGTTTGCCAATTTGCTGTAGAACAAATCTTCACCAAGGAAGCCTTTTTTGTCCCTTTTGCCCCTTCCTGGTTTTTATACTGTATAAGCACTAAGTGTTTGTGTTTCTCAGCCTTACACACCAACAAACAGGGCCTCCCTAAGGCTCAGTGGGTCTTGGCCCCATTCTGACCAAGAGACTGTACAATGAAGAGAAAAACAGATTTGAAATGGGTTTAAGTGCAGCCTTAGAGAGAGAAAGTGGTCCTCCACAACCTACAGAGGTGCTGAGTCTGGCTGAGCTTTATAAAGCGTCTTCAGTTCTGCAGTCTCCCTGAGCTTGTGTCACTTCACGTATGGCAGACGTGTGCTGGGTCCAATGCATTTCAGATCAGACTTATCACATAAACATAGTATGCCAACACCTTCTCCTGGGTATTTGTAAAATTTCTTCAGAACTGTGAAAGCTTAGGAAATAGACAATGTTTTAGTGCCTGAAACACATTTTATCATGTAATGTGAAAAATAGGCATTATTTGGGACTTCTCGCAATAACATGTAAAACTTGGCAGCCCTGGGCCTCATTTCTGTCTGTCATGTTCTGCACCAAACAGGTCTCATTAGCACGACATATGCCTTGGAGTGGGCCCTGCCTCAATGGGAGCGGGCCCTGCCTCAATGCTTATCCCATAGTTTTTTCCATCTGCTGCACTTCCCGTCACTGGTTTACAGCCTGCACCCTGCTTAGCGCTGAGCAGCCCTAAATGTGGCACATAACACCCTGTGTCTTCACACCCCATGTGCACCAAAGTATGTTATCCAGAAGTTGCTGAAATCACATGATTTCTGTTTTCCCATGTGCTGCTGCTTCTCAGCACACAACTTTGGAGGCTCCTTCCAGGACTTGTTTCATCCTGGAAATGAAACAGCTGAGCTTGTCTTCAGGGGAGGGACAGTACAGCTTGGGAACAGTTATTCAGACAGGCAGGGCCTCAAGGTCATGCTTGCTGGTGGCTCATCTAGCACCTCACCCTTTTCTCACCTCATTCGTGGTTATTATTACTTAACTTGTAATAATCGCACATGATTGTTGGATATGAGGTCCAGACTTTCAAGATGCAGAGGGCCATGCTGAAGGGTGGGAGCTGATGCCCTCTCCCTGAGCCAGTCTGGTACATGCCAGGAACCCCTTGTCTTGCACATGAAGAGCAACAGTTTGAGAAGGGCAAAGAAGACTGAGTATGCTGGTTGTGAAGGTCTGTAGTGTCATTCTGTTGACCACACGGGTCTGTTGGTTTGCCCTGAGGTTGGCACAGTTAGGCACATAGGGTGGAAAGTGTCTCTGCAGCAGAGCAGACAGGAGCTTTACCTTGGGGTGGTCCCCACAGTGGTGCTTCCCTGTACAGCCTTGGTGCTGCTCACTCAGCTGTCTGCCCTGGGAGAGGTCAAGGAAATGCTCCAAGAAAGGCAAAACTTACCCTGACGTGTAAACTCCCATACTGAAAAAGATCCTAAAAAGGGTTTCTAACCTGAAAACATAATTCTCCCTGCAGCCCCTGAATCCTGCTTTCTCCCTCTCTACCATAGAGGAGTTACCTCTGGTACGTTTCTGTTCCAGTCATGGTTGCTCCTTGAGATAGCTCAGGCCATGGCTCCAGTGGAGTAGGGCTGGAAGAAAGAGGGAGCCCCTCTGGGGGGTATGGCCGCTGCCTCCTGCAGCCCTCTGACCACACAGGTGCTGCAAGAGCTGCACACGCGGGTGTGGAGCCAGCGCCTCACCTCCTTGTGAGCTCGGCTGCTCACCTCCATCTCCCCCTTGGCTGCCCTTCAGGTGAAATATGCTTTTAATACCTGGCCTAGAATTGCTCATGTGGAAAAGAGAAGAAAAAAAAAAGAGGAACCACTAATGGAGTGGCATATGAATGCAGTTTGATTTTTTTTTTTTTTTTGTTATTGCAGTCAAATCACTTGATTAAAATATTTTTTTCACCAGTTGTCATCAATAGCTTTACATGCTAATCCACAGAAAGGAGAATCCAGGGACGTTTTAGAAAGAAATGCCTCACAAATACATCATTGGCACTCTTAAGTACTTTGCAGGCAGCTGGTACTCTAAATCCTGAGTATTTAATGCACTCCAAACAGATGGGGAATTTCTAAAAATCTTTCTGAAGCTGAAGAAGAATACGGTCAGGAGACCTGGACTGAACAGAACTGTAGACATTCAGTGTATTATTACTGGGTTTATCTTTATATATCAGGTTAAACTTTCCTAAGCTATCTGTACCAAAAGAGTCAGTGAGAGTTTATTTAAGCTCCTCAGTTAGGGTTAGGGAGATAGAGCTCCTGGGGAGATAACTAGTTTTTAAAAGAAATATTTTCTCTTCATTCAAGGGTAGAGTTTACACCACGTTCTGCTCCTTTGTCACTATTCAAGCTGTGATAATTGAACATGCTTGTTCAATTATCTCTCACATATTGCTTGCTGGCATTTCTGAAGTATGAATTACTTCTCAGATACGTGTAGAGCTGACTGTCTTAGGTTGCCAGAGCTGGAAATGGGTAGGATACAACTGATATTGCTAGTTAAGTAGCTTATAGGGTATCAGGAAAGGACCCTCAAACCTCATCCATTAGGGATGCAGAAGTCCAGGATTATTTGAAAATAACATTAAAACCAAATTTCAAGAATGGTTGACCTGTAGTTTTCAAGATTTGCTGCACAGCTTCCCTCTCCCTGAGAGGGTGATGAGGGTGCCATACAAGGGACCACTGAGGAGTAGTCCTTTCTCATTTCTGATGATAAAGCAAGAATTAAACCAAGCAGAATTAAACCAAGCAGAGGATGAAGTTACATGGACCATTGCAGCAGTCTCGGAATAGCTCCTTCATTTTAATGCACAAGAAACCTGAATTCTGATTTTGGGTAAGGATTTCCTGGGAGGACTGCAAAAACCAAACAGATCTTCAGCTGAGGAACTTGGTGGTCACAGTAATCAGATGAAGCTCAGTTTTAGCAAATGTGAAGTTTTGTAATAACGGCAAATTTCAAAAGATGTAAATTACAGAAACATTCAGAGTACAAAAGCAGAGAGAGAATGAATGACCAAGACAACAAATCACATTCACCTAGAACAGCTTCTGTTGAATTCACAGGAAGTTGACCAGCTAGGCGCTTACTTTCCTCCCTGCTAGGTAGGAGTTAGAAAAAAGAATGCTGGCTCATCTTTGGGGGGGG